TACGCATCCCGCACACCGCGCGTACAGAACTAGAGCATATCCCTCCTTGCTCACCCGTACCCGTGCAACCAAGACCGAGCCCAAGAGACCCTGCAAACAGACAGGCAGGTCTAACGACAACCACCTGACCACAGCAAGCAGGCAAGAGAAAGACAACGAAGGCACAGCAACAAGGCACCCATCCACCCATCCATCCAGCACGAGCACACACCCGCACGCACGCACGAACACACCACAAACGAACAGCCGACCGACCGACTAACTTGGAGTCCAACAAGCACGGTCACAACCAGCAGAAGAACAAAGGGCGCTCTTGCCGCTCTTCTCTTGTGTGAGCGCCTCGACCAGACATCATGGTTGGCGGGGAGCGCAGGCGGAGCAGCAGCCAGGTGTTCTCTGCTGCTCTTGGGCTGTTAGAGAAGGGATCAACACAGGAGTTTCTGGTGGCGACGCGTATGCTTGTCACCGTCATCCACAACCTCTGCAAGAACCCAAACAGCGACAAGTATCGCAAACTCAAAACTACAAGCGAGGTGCGTCGATGCTTGTTTGTATATGCGGATGGATGTAAGTGTACGCGAGTATGTTAGTATTTGTGTGTGTGTGTGTGTGTGTGTGTGTGAGTGTGTGTGTGTAAGAGGGTGTGTAGATAGAGATATGTGCGTGGTTGTTTGTGTGCATGGGCATCGTGGTATGCTCAAAGGGCTTACAGAGCCGTGGTGATGGTGATGATGAAACGGTGCGTGCCTCACTCTCTCACTCGTTTGCTCGTTTCTACATGCACATGTATCCAACACCAACACGCTCGCAGATTATTCAACAAATCTTGGCCATTCCCTTCACGCATGACTGCCTCATCGCATGCAACTTTGTCAAGCATGTCAGTGAAAGCAGCCCTGCTTCTCTGCCACACCCGCCTGCATGCATGCACGTTCCTCAACCTCAGCTGCAGCCGTGACGCAGATTTTGCTGTCCCCCCGATATCATACGTTTGCCACTCGCGTGAACGCACAAGCACGCTCAACACAGAGTGTCTGTACTCATCCACCGTCACTCACATTCATCCACCGCACTATTCCTTTTCCTTCCAACAGGACAAGTATTACAAGCTGCAAGGAGACATCGACGTGAAAGACCTTCACGCCTGTATGGACCTTCTCATCGAAGGTGTGTGGGTATGTGGGTGGGTGTGGGTGTCTGTCTCTCTGTCTGTCCCTCTGTCTCTGTCTGTCCCTCTGTCTCTGTCTGTCTCTGTCTCTCTGTCTCTCTGTCCCTCTGTGTGCGGGTATGACATCATTTATGTCTTTGATTTATAATCTTGTGTGCGATGCGCTTCATGCTCTGAAATGTGGTTAATCGGACTAACCATTTCTTTCCTTCCCTCACCCCCCCCCCCCCACACATACACGTTGTTGCAGCCCGAAAGAGGAAAGGCGTGATGGAGGCGTGGGAGGTGTTCCCGTCCGATCTTGAGCTTGGCGATAAGATTGGCAGCGGCAAGTTTGGAGCCGTGTTTGAAGGTCTATGGAACGGCCACAAGGTGGCCATCAAGACCATGAAACGCGCCACCCAGGACGGCATGCGCGATTTCGAACGCGAGGCAGAAGTGATGCGCACACTCAAGCATCCAAACGTCCTAAACTTGCTTGGCGTTGTGCTGACGCAGCAGCCAGCGCTCATTGTGCTTGAGCTGATGGGGGCCAGCTTCCTCTCCCTGCTCACAAAATGCGAGCTCACAGACAAGGACATCCTCGACTGCGCCATGCAGGTGTGTAGCGTGTGTGAATGTGCGTTAACGTGTATGTCTGTGTCGGTGTGGTTGTGTGTTTGTGTGCTTTTGTGTCTGTGTTCGTGTGTCTGTGTTTGTGCTTGTGTATATGTCTG